AAGGTCCCAGGTGGCCGATGTGGCTGGGATGTGTGGCTGGGATGCGGCTGGGTGGAGGCAACAGGACTGGGATCGGAGCATGTGGGGGCCACTTTCCCATCCCCTTTCCCCATCTGAAATTCCAGTTGGTTCCTGCCAGTAACGTGGGCCCCGCCTGACTCCCTGTTGAAGCTGTTCCTGCCCCTCCAGGTCGGCATCGAGGGGCCTCAGGCAGAGGACAGAGGCTGGGCAGAAACTGAGGCTTGTGCTCGGCTGGGGGCCAAGGAATGGGAAGGCGAGGTTGAGCGCCCCCTCCCCCACCCGACCCTCCCGAGTGGGCACGTTCATGTTCCAGTCCTGGCGCCCGCGTCTCCAGCTCCAGACGCATGTGACTCAGCCTTGCCGGCCTTGCCAAGCCGTCTAGACCCGAGTGTCTCCCCGCGGAGGGGCCCATCCCGCCCGCCATTTCCTCTCCCGCCGCCTTGGGGAGGCTGAGCCCCCGCGCACGTGCAGCCGCGCGCCCCTGCCGCGCCCGCGCCGCGTGCACGCGCAGCCTTCCGCTCGCTCCCGCTCCACTCACCCGTCACCGCGCCAGGCACGTCCGCCCCTACCGCTGCAAACCCGGAGCGCGAGTGCGCGAGCAGGAAACCCGGAGGCCCCCAGGATCTCAGCCTGCCCCCTATCTGTGGAGCATGGGGCAAGAGGACAAGTGAAGACCCAACCGTGGTCTCTCCCCCTACCCCCTGTCTTTCCCACCTCTGGCTCCACGGGGCCAGGAGCGTGGGTACACCCTTGCCGTCGCAGCCTGCCTCGGTCCACAACCCCACAAATGCTTTGGGCCTGGATTTGCCCTGGGAGAGGAGGGACCCCTAGGAGTGGGCTGGGATCTGATCCGGGTCCTGGACGTGTGAAACTTGGTCTTGCAGGAGCTTGTGGCCTGGGAGAGGATGGTGTCCCCTTGGCTCCAAGTACCCCTTGGCAGCAGCAGGAGGTGAGAGTGTGGCCCTAGAGCAGGGGCCCCAAGCAGGGCCAGGTTTGAGGGAGTGTGAGGGCGGCACTGCCTAGGGTTCCCACGGCAGGGAGCCACCTGCCTCTCTCAAGGGCTGGCTCTCCAGCTGCCTCTGCCTTAGGTTGCTATGGGCCCTGCCCCAACACAAGGACCAGAAGAGGAGGCCAAGGTCCTAGGACAGCCCCTGCATCCTCATGCCAGTAGTCTCTCAATGTGGATGCAGAGTCCTAGAATGAGAGCATTCTAGAATTAATTAGCAGTCATCAGTCAGCTCCTAGGTTGACAGTCTCATGCACCCAGTGTTAGGACCAGAGACCACTAGATTCCCCCAAGCCCACATTTGTGGCTGACCCACATCTGTCAGGCCCACAGTGGCAGCTCTGAGGTCCTCTGGATTTATGCGACTCCAGTAGTGCGTGCTTGGCCAAGCCAGTCCCCAGGGCCTTGGGTTGGGTGAACGGCAGCCACCTGAGGGAAAGTCAGTATCATTCTTGTTCTGGGAATCCTTCTGGTCTCATTGCCCATCTTAAAGTTTGGTGTCTCTGCAGCCTTTTGGCTCTTCCTCTTCTCATTTGCAAGGGCCCCCCACTTTCATGTTCTCCACGCCTCCTCCCACCTGCATGAAGATGGTTTTTGAGTGGGCTCCTAGCTGGCACAGATGGTGTGGGCTAGCTGCAAGACCTAGGCACCTGGGTGGATGGTTGATCAATAGCCCAGCGTGGCAGCTCAGTCCGGAGCAGATGAGAGCAGTCTGGAAAGGAGGTGGAGGAGGAGAGGGAGGGAGAGGAGGGGACAACCAGCTTACTTTGCTTCACCTGAGGAGTCTTGAATTCAGACCATCTTTCGCCTTACCTCAATTAGCCTGTCTCATTTCTCCCCCAAATCCAATGTCAGGCACTGCTACTTACTTCTCCCATGGACTTGATAAGCATCTCATCCCATACCGGAATTCTTCCCCTGAAATGTCTTGTGCGCGCATGCGCGCGCATACTCCCCACTTGCCTTTTCTTCAAGAGCCTGCATTTGGTTCTCACCAGGGGACATGGTGAGGAGTCCTTTGATCTCTTTTGCTTACTGGGGAATCTCAGGGGTGGGGGACCAGGGGCTGGAGGGAGCCTCTGTCCCTCGAGGGCTCCCCCCTTTCGGTGGCAGGAGTTGATGGGGTCCTGTGGAACAAGGCCTTCAACCCCTGTCGGATGCGGCAGAAGCCAGCCTGCTTTCTCTTCCTTGCTGGAGAGGTAAACCCTTGAACTTCAGCTTCCTTTGATTGGCGATGTCTGTTGGGACAGGGGCTCTGGTTAAGATTCCTCCTGCACCCCGGGGTCTGCTGCTAAAGGCAGCTGGAACATCGGGGCTGAGATACTCTCAGGGCCCTTCCTCTTGCCCAGTGCCCTGCTCCCACCAACAGCCCCCTGCTCCAGGGCAGGGAGGCCACTGGGTGAAGCCAGCTGGTCGGTTATACATTTCTGCACCCACTGCACAAAGTGACGGGCTTCATGTGCCTGGTTGCCTTGGCCTCCACTGCCTGCCAGCCCATCCCTGGCACAGTGGAGCCAGTGCCTGTCAACTGGCCTCATTTTCCAACCTGTTTTCCAAGCCCTGACACATGTGGAGGCCCTGCTGGAACCCATGGCCAAGTTTCCCCCATGACCAGGAGGTTGGCTCTTGCTGAGTGCAGTGCCCAGGTCTGCCCAGGGCCCCAAAGTCTCCACCGACACCCCCCCCCGCCCCCTGCCACATCCGTTCCTAAGTGGATGGCTCCTTTAGCTCCATTTTCGGCCCCTGACCCACCCAGGCCTCCCTCACAGAACCCAGGGCTCGGGCAGGAATGCCCCCTAGAGAACTGTCCTCTCCTTCCTCACTAGCAATCCACCCTTCCACATCCCTACCCATCTCCCTGGGCTTGCACATCTCTCGAGACAGGGAGCTCCTTTCCTTTCCAGGCAGCCAGCTAATGTTTAGATATCGCCCCCTGGGAGAAGTGCTTCCTTGTATTGAGCTTGAGTCCACATTTCCAGAAGCTTCTACCACTCAGCCCTTTCTTCACCCTCCTCCCTGAGAGGCCCAGCAGCCTCTGTTCCCATCCCAGCTTCCAGCCTTTCTGGTGGAGGATGCCCGGGAGGAGCCACGATTCGGGGTGGTGTGTGTAGGGAGGCTGCAGCCCGCTGCTGCGTCATCAGCAGCCCTCTCCACGAGCTGAGGGCTGGCCAGCAGGTCCTCCATGTAGGAGGATGGACCCCATAACCCTTTAGGATGGTCTTCTCCCCTCAAGGCCCTGGCAATCCCTCCATGTCCCACCCCATGCCATAGACAGAGCTACTGAGTTGGGGAAGGGCTGCTTAGAGTACTGGCTCCATTGGGCTGGGTGGAGAAGGGGAATTTTCCAGAATACACAGGAGCTGGTGAGGATATGGGGAGGCTGAGGGAGGCCACCACACTGCCATGGTTTCTCCCTCCAAATTCCCCAGTCCTAGGAAAGATCCACAGAAAAACCCACAAGAATTTGAACATCTGAGCTGGGGCTGTGATTGAAATGAAATTTTTAAAAAAGAAAGAAAAACAGAAAAAGAGAAACAAAAAAGATTTAAAAAAACAACCCAAAGCCCCTACAGCCTTCAGCTGCCAGAAGGGCCCAAGGCAGCCGCCACATCGGAGGGAGAAAGGGGCCTTAAGATGCTTTGCACATCTCTGGGCCCCCCCCGCCCCTGGGCTGGGGCTGTCCCTTCAGCTCCAGTTCTGAGGGTCCGTGTCCTTAGAGTAGCTTGGAATTCCAAACCGTTCGGGAGGGAATCAGGTCCTGCCCCCACAAGGCTGAGGTGGGGTCCCTTCCTGTTAGCCCAGACTCCTACCTACTCCAGGGCAGAGCAGAGCCCTCTGCTGTCACTCAGACGACTGCAGTTGCCTCCTGCCAGGTCCCTGGGTCTCCCTGCCTCTAGACTTGTCCCCTGATCCTACCCTCCAGGAGATGGCAGGGTGGGGCAGAGAGGAGGGATAGGCCCTGGAGAGGATAGAGTAGGGCTGGCAGCAGCTGCCTGCCGCTGGCTCCCCACTCCCTGGGCTCCAGCCACCCTCTGCCTCCTTCCCACCTCGTCTGATCAGCAGGTCCCGGGGTTGAGCGTGTTCACTGAGCTGGGGGCTTTGTAGGTCTGGGGGAGGACGTGCTGACAAATTTCATTCCAGACTCATTGAGTTTGAGGGGCCTGAGAGATGCAAAGAAATTTGTAAGTGGACAGGGAACGAAGGAGCCACAGAACCTTCCATGACTGTCAAAGACAGACAGACTAGGGGAGGAGGAGGAGGGGGAAGTAGCAGGACCCAGCATAATAATAGTGAACATTTACATAGTGCTTTTACGTGCCAGGCATTGTCCTAGGTAAGTCATAGGAATTATTACTTCATTCCATCCTCATAGCAACCCAATGAAGTAAGTGCTCTCACTATCCCCATTAGGTGAGAGAAAGGAGGCACAGAGAGGTTAGGTAACCTGCCCAAAGTCACAGTTAGTGAATGGTGGGGCCGGATTCGAACTCAAGAAACTTCCCTCTAACTACAGCCGCATGGGAAACAGGAGATAGAGCTTTGCTCTGGGAGACGAGAGACTCAAGTCACAGTTCCGTCCTGTGCCCAAGGCTCCTCTTCATTCTCCGGGGGAGAACCCGACCAAGGCAGGAGCGCCCTCTCCTGGAAGAGGCTAGCCCTGACACGCCCTCGGCCCTGGGCAGGAGCGACGCGGGCTAGGCGGGCGACAGAGAGCCAGCCCCGCCCCGCCCCGCCCTCTTCCCTGAGGTCCGCCTCTTGGGTGGTGCCGAGCCGCGGCCCAATGGGTAGGCGCGGTGGGGGAGGGGGTCCGCGGCCGCGCGC